CCAGCTGCCCAGCTCTTTCTAGTTAGCCTGAAATTCCTCAAAATTCCTGGCATTATAACAACAAAAATGATGGCAGCTAACAGTTTGTTTCTAAATTGAAAAAACAAAAAACAACTTTAAGAATCTTTGCAAACATTCCCTCAGTATTTATTTCTCTTCTTTATTATTTTTATTTTATGTATGAGTGTACTACTGCCTGCATGTGTGTAAGGTGCACCCATGTTGCACAATACCTGCAGAGGCCACAAGAGGGTGTCAGATCCCCTGGAATTGGAGTTACAGATGGTTGTTAGCCACCATGTGGGTGCTGAGAATCAAACCCAGGTCCTCTGCAAGAGCAGCCAGTGCTCTTAACCACTGAGCCATCTCTCCAGCACCTCAGTATTTATTTCTATGAGACAGGTATGATTATCACCATTCTAACTTTACAAATAAGGAAACTGAGGCAAATAAATAAATAAATAAGCAACTTGCCCAAGGTCATGCAATTAGCAAATGACAGAGCCTGGATTCGGATGCAGGTAATCTGGCTCCAAGCTTCTTTTTCCCATTGTTTTAAGTACAATTATGGTATTCATTATTGTTTATTTGTTCTGTCATTTTCAATGATACTGGAGCAGAGGAAGATAAATGGATACTTTCTGTTTCTTACTTTATGATGGAAAGCCACTGTTTTTGTTATATCAGAATTGTTTTTACCACATCACACTTTTAATTGGTAGAAATCTTTTTTGAAAAGATGTAGGATCCAGTAACAGAAAACAGACCCTATGAAATTCTCTGCCGTCATCAAGGTAAAGGATTTCCAAAATGAGAGGCTTTAAAGTGGCTATTCCCAAAGTATAAATATTTGGGGAAAAAAAAAAAAAAGAAAATCACAGAAAGAAAACACCTAATGAACCACAGAAACAGCATTTTCATGTTCTCAATGATTCATTAATTCATCATTACCATCACCAGAGAGTAGCTGAGGAGGTACTAAGCCCATACTATTTCCTGACAGCAGCTTTATAATAATTAGATTTAACTCAATATACCTACTAAATATACTGTGCTACCAACTGGAGATAAAGAAATTAGAAGAACTATCCTACTGTCCCCACTCTTTCAGAGCTTACAGTCTAATGAGGGGCACAGACAAGAAATGAACATAATGCCATGTGGTAAGTGTTGATACAGGTGGAACGCAGAAAATGCCATCAGAACAAAGAGGGGACAAGCCTACCAAGGATTTTTCCTGGAAATAACTTTTAGACTAAATGTCAAAGAATCAAAGAGATTATACTAGAAATAATTCTTAAATTGCCAAGGGATAAACAATTACTCACTTGTAGATTAAACTGAGGTCATTGTCTATTCCCTAACGCCTGCCCTCTGATTATGTATATAATGCCTGACGAGCAATACAATTCACACAGAAATCTGCAAATCTTTTTTTTTTCTCTTCCTTCCTTTTCAATTGGTGATCAAGCCTCATCTAATTCAACACATTCATATTTCAAGTCAATTCCCCACTCCCCATTCTGACTACAGCTATCTTCATTTCAGGCTGTATCATTTCTTACCATGATAACTGTAACAATGATCTCTTTACTAGCTACAAAACCAAAACTCCTCTTGAGTGGTGCCCACTTGGTCTGGGCCCTGTCCAGCTGCTGGGCTATCTCTTTTTCATATGCTAAATTTCCTAGACTTTGTAAGAACCATGTCTGGGTATGCATAAACCGCCTTATTCAAGCTACCTGGTACCTATGGTCTGAGGTTCCACCCTTCCCTTGCAGACAACCACTTAGGTTTAAGCACTCCTAAAAAGTCATCCCAAAGACCACTTGTCTCTCATCCTCTTCCCCTAAGCTGAGAGACGACGAACTTCTGTGTGTCCCATGTTGTACTACTTCATAAGGACACTTATCACAAACAATTACACACAAATTATTCTGTAGTTGTCTGTTTACCTTGTTCTCTAAGATCTGCATCATCAACCTAACACAGTGACTACAAATATAGGAAGCAATCAAGATACTGAAAGAATGAAAGAATGAACAATGAACAAACAGAGAGATAGATCAACCTAAGAAAGCTGATGAGACAATCAAAGGAGATCATGGAGAAAAGACAGAACACTGAAATAATACCCACCTTTAATGGGTAGAAGAAAGAAGCTAGTGAAGGGAACAGAATGAACAACCAAAGAGGCAGAAAACATCTAGGATCATACAGTGCTGCAACCCAAAGGAAGAGAAAAAATCTAAGAAGGTACATGTGGTCAACAGCATCAAATAGAAACGGGTCAAAGGTGAGAAGAAAGACAAGGCCACTGGTTCAAAGGAGGTTTGTGGTGATCCTTCATCCTTAATGCTGAGCCTGTTCCCACCTCACTCTTCTCAGAATTACCTATCACAAACTTTTTCAGCTACTGTTTGAATTTAGGACTTTCAAATATCCAATGTTATGAAACTTACCTGGTACAAGAGTTTCCCCCATGATTAAAAAACTAAAAAAAAAAAAAAAAAAAAAAAAAAAAAAAAACGAAAAAAATGGAAAAAAAACCCAACTAAACAAACAAACAAAAATGGAGACTATGCAAAAGAAAACAAAATCCCACCATTCAGGTATATAACCAGTTTTTTAGATATTTTGTTTTTAAAATATTTTTACAAATTTATTTTTATTTTATGGGTATGAGTGCTTGCCTGCATGTATGTTTGTGCACCACATGCGTGCCTGGTGTCTGGTGATCAGGAGAGGGTGTCAGCTCCCCTAGAACTGGAGTTACAGAACCAGTAGTAAGCTGCCATGTGGGTGGTGGGTTAACCTATGAGCAGATTCTCCAGCCCCACACAATTGTTTTCATATTGAATTCTATATCTTAGTTATTTTTCTTCTTTAATTTTGTTTTGGGGGGCAGATAGTCCAGGCTGGCCTTGAACTCACTGTGTAGGTGGAGATTACCTTGCACTTCCGATTCTTCCACCTTCACCTTCTGAGTGCTGGGATTATAGGTAGTACCACCATACTCCAATTTGTATTAGGTATTTTTGTTTTTTTTTTTTAATTATTATACTTATTAAAGTGGGGGACAAGTTTGCCATGAGCATGTATGGAGGTCAGAAAACAACATGGAGGAGTCAGTTCTCTCCTTGTGGATCCCAGGGCTTGAACTCAGGTCATCAGGCTTGGCCACAAACACCTTGACTGGCTGAGCCGCCCTGCCAGCCTCCGTATCTTGGTTTTATATGGTGCTGGGATCAAATTGAGGGCTTTGTGGTGTAAGCAGTCTACCAAATGGACTACATTTTCTAGTCTGTGTTTTTTGTTTGGGTTTTTTTTTTTTTTTTTTTTTTGATACAGGGTCTCACTCTACCGCCTAGGCTAGCCTGGAACTTACCATGTAACTCAGGCTGGTCTAGTACTCATGGCCATCCTCTTACCTCAGCCTCCCAATTCTGCAATTATAAGAATGAGCCACTGTGCCTGGTCCTAAATTATTTCTTAATTATGCTTACATTTAATAAATATAACTACTTACAATGAAATTAATGAGTAATTAATGATACCTCATTTATGCTTCTTTCAGAGAGTTAAGATTTTTCATTATAAACCAATAAATTAGTATTTTATAAAGAAAAAAATGTTACAGAATTAGACACCTCTGCTTAGCCACTTGTGCATAGTATTTTTCTGTCACATACTACTAGAAGAATCTTTAAAGTTTTATCAGCAACATTATGCTAAAAAGTGGCACATTACCCTGAATTTCTTATCTTGATTCACTGAGGGCTGGTTTGGGAGATTTTTATGTTCCAGAACTTGGCTGCTAATAAGTTAGACACTAGAAGCAGAAAACATCTATAGCAGCTGTAGAATTTTTCCTTAGATTTTTGTTTGAATCTCTCAGTTAAAATTAGACACAATGACTTATAAATAAAGTCTAAATTACAACCTAGCATGGTTATCTGATAATTTGTTATAGCTAGAAAAAAATGTGAGTTTTCAATCCTCTTATGAGAATTTTTTTACTCAATATGGTCTCTGTGTTCTCTGCAGTTCTAAACATAAGAATTGTTATGTCAAAGGTATAAACAGCTTTAAGGTTTTTGATACATTTTGCCAAATTAGATCCAGAAAGTCAAGCCTCTGATTTGAGCTTTATTTCCCTATACCCTTGCCAGCATTCAGTATTCTTATTTTTAGTCTTTTTCAACCTAATAGGTAAAATATTTTATTATTTTAATAGTTTTGTTTATGACAGTAGTAAGCTTAATGTGTTTATATTTAATAACATTTTTGAAAATTTTTATTACATTTATTTATTTATTCATTTATTTATTGTGTTTGTGTATGTGCTCACATAGTGTGGCACATATGTGGAGGTCAGAGGACAACCTGGAGTTGTCTCTGTTTCTACCATATGAGTCCCAGGGATCAAACTCAGATCACCAAGCTTGGTAGCAATTGTCTTTACCCACTAAGTCATCTCATTGGGCCCCAATTAATTGGCATTTCTTTATGTACTGATTATTCATATGCTTCTAACCATTCTTCTAGTGGGTTTTTACTTTTAAACTACTAGTTTATAGAGCTCTTTAATATTCAGATCTATTTGTTACAAGTATTTTCCCCTTTTATATTTTATTTATGGTATTTAATATAATGGCTTATTTCAGACTCTTGCATAATCTTTTATTTCTTCCTTAGAATCATATCCTCTACTCAAAGTTCTTTTTAATGTGTTTACAGTGAACTACCACTGATATTGGTGAATTAATTTCTACCATCTAATGTACATTAAGAGATTCTAACGTCCTCAAAACCTATCATTACAATTCCAACAGTGGTTTTATAATATAAAACATAAATTTGAAATTGAAGTCTGACATTTTTTGCTCCAATTTTGGCTATTAAGACAATTTAAAGCAAACAGTTCTGAGTTGAGAAAATTCATTCAAAGTTCCCTTTAACCCACACGAAGCACAGAGCTCTTGCTAGTTATCACCCACCTCTCAAAAACCTGTTAGGGATCCTTATGATGGGACAGGACTGAATGAAGCGCCTCCTAACTGGGTCCCATCGTATTTTCTTCTTACCTGTCACCACAATTATCAGCAGTAAGTCAGACACATACAACACATGGCAAATAATACATAGTTACTGTATTATAAGACAGAAAAACAGGAAACAAAACAATACTTGAATACAGAAAGAGTGATATAAAGAATCATTTAATTCTGTTTTGGAAGTTAAAATTTAATAACATATAAGCAGTGATAAAAGTTTTCAACTCTTATCCCCAAAACAATACAAACAATTATGTACAGCTTTTTCCAAGCTGGTTCAATAGTATGTGCACTCAATCACCAATGCCATCTTGTGGTAAAAAATTTACCAGGCATGTTAGAAGCAATTAGAAATTTTCCACAGTATTTTTAAGTCAACAACTGTCAAAAGGGGGGGTTCTACCCCCAAAGTAATCAGGCATAATATAGGCTCCTCATCTCTAGGTTTGAAGTTTGGTGTCCTTTTATTAGTTATAAAGCAATGGGTACTAGCCTTTAAGTAAGAAATCAGCTGATCTTATTATTAAAATTATATAATAACCAAGCCAAAGCCAAACACACATTTAATGTCTTGGCACCTCCATGCAGAGTAAGGAAGAGAGTATCTCTGCCTTCTTAGGAAGCAGATTAGTGATACACTAACCCCAATTAAGACTGGTTTTCTTACAAGAAGAAAAATTCAATGAATTTATAGAACTGTTAAATGGAGTAATTTTCTTCTTTTCCAAAGTTTTGATACTCCCTATTAAAATAGCTCATCAAAAAATTTAATGCTGTTTGCATAGCATGCAAAGTTTCTGAAGTGCTTCCACATACATTACTTCACATAATTCCCTCAGCAAGCCTACACTTGGTTCAGCACTCATTTTAGTAGGGACCTGCTATGCCTGGATTCCTGTGCTAGAACTGAGAGCTGCAAAAGGATATGACTCGTTACTCCCCTTAAGAGCATATGCTCTGGTAAGCAAGGACAATGGATGAACAAATAGTTATATTACAGTCAAGTAAATGTTGAACAAGGGCTAAAAACCACCCAAAGAGATCTTATCATCACTGTGTAAGTGAGGAAGCAAAAGGAAAACTTAGTGACTGACTGCAAAGGCAAGGAGTCATACCTAGGCATTCTGAGTCTAAGATCACCCTTCTTTCTACATCACACTTACTCTGGCTCAAATTCCCCAGAAAGAGAATGGGTTTTGTTTAGAGCAACTGGAAATATATTCAGCTGCTCAACAGCAGGTCTAGTTTGCTTACTCAAAAGCTTTTACATGAAAATACACAAATTCTGTTTAATGCAATAACATGACCTACATATGTACACTTAATATTGCGGAGAAAAGAGACTTACAGATAAAGGGGAGAATTACTTATCTTTTAATGCTCTAAAATCTTTTAGTCTGTGGTTTCCAAATGTTGGTCTATAGTTAGTTCACTGGTAGGCTGAGGTGAAGATTTGCAGTCCAACACAAAATGAGAAAAATATAGACAAAAAGCTAAAATGTTCCCTTCAATAACCTATCCTTTTTTATAGATTATAACTTTTTTATTATTAGATATTCTTTACTTTGTAAGATGATGGTGCTGGAAAACAGCATTTGGTTTTATTTTTAAATATCTTTGCTTAGAAAAAATAGAAAATTTGCAAACCTAAATTTACTCTAAAATATATATACACACATATATATTTTTAAATATACAGATTTATGGCATCCAAAACCTTGAAGAACCACTTCTTTGAATTAATACATGTTAATGACTCATGAGTCCAGGGAGAAGCCACACTGCCAAAGGATACATAACATTTACAAGAAACTTCCCTTCTCTCAAGCTTATATTCCAATTAGACAGGACAGACACATAAAACAATTGGATAGCAATACAAGACAGAATATAACAAGTGATTAGCTTAAAATTTGACATTTTTATGTATCAAAAGCATTAAAATGTACATACCCTTTGACCCAGCTATTCCACTTCTAGGAATCTATTCCTAAAGAAACAATCATAGATGCATGGAAAGATGTATGGACAAAGATATTAACTATGTAATCTTTATAATGGTAAAAAGTCAGAAACACTTTCAATGTCCAATGATACAGAGATGGTCAAGTATGCTAATTAAGCATACCTAAATATGTTTATATACTATATACCACTTTTAAAAGGTTTATACAAGACCATTAACATGGCAAAACACTCACAATATACTGCAAATGAAGAAGTCATAAAGTAGTATGAGTATAATATAATTTTAGTAGAGAAAAAGTATATATTCATTAAAAATGTAGGGAAGATATACATCAAATTTTGATTGTGGTTCTCCTTGGGTTGTTATTATGAGTGATTTTCATTTTTCCCCTTTGTGCTAGGTCTTTACTTTCCAAGCTCCTCACTGAGTAGGCATTACTTTTGGCCAGGAAGAAAAACAGTACCATATCCCTTTGATTTTTTTAAAATATAGTTTTTTAAATACTGGAAAGAAACATACGAAATTGTTAACAGTGGCTATGACTAGGATTGGGGTAATCATTCATTCTATGTTATCCCCAAAAATGTACAGCCTATTGTTTTATGTGCTATACGAAAGTTAAATCTGCTTTAGAATAACACTGAAAATTAGCAAACTAAAGGTGTAAGCAAAGAGCTTTTGAGCTTAAAAAAATGTTGTCTTATGTTTCCTCAGAACTTCTGTCAAACATCTTTTTTTTTTTTTTTGGTTTTTTTGAGACAGGGTCTCCCTGTAGCCCCAGCTTTCCTGGAACTCACTCTGTAGACCAGGATGGCCTTGAACTCAGAGACCCGCCTGCCTCTACCTCTGCCAGGACTAAAGGCGTGCGCCACCACGCCCGGCCCAAACATCTTTTTAAAAAAATATTTTATTTATTAATTTTATTTTCTGTGTATGAGTATATTGCCTGCGTGTGTGTAAGTGCACCTTGACCATAAAGATCAGAAGAGGTTGTTAGATCCCCTGAAACTGGAGTTACCAACAGTTGTTAGCCACCATGTGGGGGCTGGGAATCAAACCTGGGTCCTCTGCAAGAGCAGCTAGTGCTCTTAACCACTGAGCCATCTCTCTAGCCCCTCTGTCAAACATCTTTGGTATGTTTCTCTCACAGCAACCAACATATTTATGTCACAGGTAGGAGCTAATGCTGACTCCATGGGGGTTATTCAGACAAAGGACACAGACTTCTGGACTCGTGTTCTTTTTCACCCAAAGAGCAGGAAAAAAAAGGAGAGGCAAGGAGACACAACACGAGCAGCACAGTAGCATAACAATAACAAATGTGTACTTTGTACTTTTTAAATGTGCCTTTTTAATTTCATATAAATATATTCTAAATCTAAACTTCTGTTCATTAAGGTCAACACATATATTTAAACTACTCACAATGAAAATTAAATAAACTGTCAATCTCCATTAGTGCTTATTTAAAAAGCAATCTTCAGAATGAAAAATGTAATTTCTCTAATGATTTCATCAATAATTTATTTGCTAACTTTAAATTTTCTTTTTACAAAGTTTATTTCATCATAAATATGCAAAGTCACTGACTAAATAAAAATAAAAACTGAATACAACACAAGCAAACTCATCTTCCCTCCAATATCATAAATGTCGTCCTTTTATAAACCTATAATTCAAAGCAAAAAATACCCTAGTAGACTAAAACTCTGAGGAAATCACTGAAAGACGAAGAGAAGAAAAGCTGATGCAATCAGACTAAGAAATCAGTCCTATAAAACCAAAGAAAAGTAGTGGAGCAAGAGGAGGCTTTGTGGGTTTAATTTAAACTCAGATGAACTAAAGCTAGAGATGAAATACAGGAAGAAGGACTCAAATAATTTACAAACTTACTACATAACTGGTTGGGGATAACACAGAAGTTACATTACAAACCAAACCCTCCCAACTATTTGCCAAATTTGAGTTTCAGAATACAGGTATTTGCTCCCAGATGAAACAGCAGCAATGACCAAGAATGTGTTTCCAAGGTAGGACAATGATCATGAACTTGGAAATCAGCAAAATAAGGAACAGTTACACTAAAGAAGAACCAGGGGACACTTCACCTCAGCCGTCATTCAGGGTCTGTCCCATTCTCACCACAATCAGTGCAGAACTGTCGCAATATGCAGATGTAAGATCACAGGGAGACAAGCAAGGACTCTCAAATCAAGTGAATGAGCATAAAACCAAGACCCAAACATGAAAAAAAAGGTATTTAAAAAGTTAAGATAACAAAGAGAAGTAATCGCTATTAGAATTTGAGTGCTGTTTTTTGTTTGTTTTCCTTTATAGAAATAAACAATTGAGTCTTAATCGTCACATGGAAATAGAAGGAAGGAATCCAGAATACCAAAATGATCTTGGAAAAAAAGTGGAAGACTAATACTTTCTACCACTAAATTTACTACAACGATACAATATTCAAAGCAGTGGGATACTGACATAAGGAAAAACACATATAAATAATATGTAGTGAGAATTTATAATTTATAGTGAGAATTCAGACTGGGTGTGGTGGTACATGCCTGTAATCCCAGCACTCAAGGTATAGCCTGGAGGGTCACCAGGAGTTTGAGGTAGCCAGGTCTACATAGAAAGTTCCAGAGCAGCCAGGGCAACATAGTGAGACACTGTCTCAAAAAACCAAAACTAAATAAATAAAAGTGAGAATTCAGGGCCTGGAATGGTGGTGCACGCCTTTAATCACAGCACTCAGGAGGCAGAGGCAGGCGGATCTCTGTGAGTTCAAGGCCAGCCTGGTCTACATAGTGAGATCCAGGACAACAGGGGCTACAGGGAGACCCTGTCTCAAAAAGACCAAAAAAGAAAAAAGAAAAAAAAAAGTGAGAATTCAGAAGTAAAATCAAACATCTATGATTCACTAATTTTTTTGAGAAGTGATAAGGAAATTAAGTGATTAAGTGATTGATTCTTAAGGGTGATAAGGAAAAGAATCATCTTTTCAACAAATGTTCCTAGGATAACTATATACAATTTTAAACCTAAAATTCTTTTT